ATATATATATATATATATATTTTGGCTTGCATAATTTGGTATCAAACAGATAGCAAGAAAACCTCCTTCCTCTACTTTCTGAGAGTCAAAGGGATGGTGACAGGACAAGGGGTACAGATTGAACCCCAGGCAGTTCCATCTCCATGTGAGGAAGAGCTTCTTTGCTGTGAGGGTGCCAGAGCCCTGGCACAGGCTGCCCAGAGAGGCTGTGGAGGCTCCTTCTCTGGAGATCTTCCAACCCGCCTGGATGCCACCCTGTGCCCCTGCTCTGGGTGTCCCTGCTGGAGCAGGGGCTGGACTGGATGATCCCTAGAGGTCCCTTCCAACCTCAGCTGTTCTGGCATTCTGTGAGTTTCCAACTTATTATACAAACTAGCATTTTTTCCCCTTGCTCTTCCCAGAGAGACGCGGGTTAGTTCCACACCCACCTGTACAGGTCCGACTCCAGGAGCGTCAGCTGCCGGGCGATTTCTATGGGATGCAGCGTCATGAGGTCGAGGCTCTCGCTGTGCCCGATGCGCCAGATGTGCCACTCGACCGGGGGCGGCGGGCTCTCAAACGTGATGTTGTGGCTAATGCCGTTGGCTTGGGCTTTCTTTCTCTTGATGATTTTAGCAATCGATTCCACCCACTTCTTCATGGATTTTCCTGCAAAAGAGAAAAAGAAGAAAAGAAAGAATTCATAACATCATCCTGTCTGATTGCTGGTAACTGATTTAATGAAATTGGACAAGCCTGTTTTCAAAGTTCTGAATCCTGAATGGGAAAGAAGTGAGATAGAAAAACTATTTCAAGTAACCAAAAGAAGGAATTCTGGAATCCCAAGCAGGGAGGGAGGACTCCTTCAGGAGGCTATGGAGGGCAGTGGATGTCCTCAGGCATGGGGGAACATTCCTGCCCAGAGCCAGATACACCGGAGGCTACTGCTCCAGGCCAAAGCTCCTTCATGTAAATGTGACTCTCAAACAGCTCAATTAAATTTAAATTATTCATTAAAATTACTTGCATGTGTAAAGATATTCCCATGTCTAATATCTGTCAGGATTAGGCTGACAAGTTATGTTATAATGTGGAAGATCAACATAGAGGACTACGAATTACCATACCTCTTACACTCGAAATGAACGTCTCCAACCTCTCCAGCAGCTCCAGATCCCTCTCAAAATCATAAAAATGGTGTTCTACCCAGTGCCGAAAAACGTTTAATATTCTGAGGAAGGAGAGAAAAGATCAAATATTGTATTTTGGTTTTAAAAACATGGAAATTGAATGAAGCACAAATCTAAGAAAGCTGAGTTATAAATTTGTGTAACGAAAGACTATAAAATACATACAGACCAAGGCATGTGCCAGTTACTACAGCAGTCCTCAAGGGTTCAGAGCCTAATTTTCGAATCTTATTATATATATTTAGTTTTTGGCCTTTTTTTTTTTAAACTTTAAATTGCTAGGGTTGAGCTGGTTTCAAAAGAGGGAATAAAGACATCAAAAACAGAAAAAATGGGCACTTATAATGTAATCAGAAATTAGTGAAAAGATCTGTTTTAACTCCAAACCTAATTAAGATCTACTATTTCACCTCAGAAGTTGCTGCAAACATATCACCCTTCTTTTGCACCTTTTTATTTTTACAAATGATACTACAGGATGCATTGCTTGCTTGACAGACACCACTATAACCTTTCTCATGCTTTTTTTTCTACGCTTTTTTACACAGCCCACTAAAAAATCAGCCTTTAAAACTAAACTACAGCTGCCCTCGCACTTCCAGCTCTTAAGAGCAGTGAAAATCCAGGCTGCAAGAGCCTCCAAGAGGGACAGGGCAGGCACCTGATTTTAAGATGCCTGGTTTGGGGAGTCAGAGCACCAGAGAGGCTGGTTCATTTGGTTTAGGCAGATGAAGAGATGGGTGTGATCTGCATGAACACATCGAGGCATTAAACACTGGGAAGAGGAGAACTATTTAAGATAAACAATAAAGTTTATCCCACAAAGAAATGGCTACGTGGACTATTTAGGCTGGAAATTAATGACAGTTTCCAGCCATCAAAGGAATGATGTTTTGGAATGAGCTCCTAGTAACAGTATTGCAGACACTTATCTAATCAGCCTTTGTCTTGGACATGTCATGGTAGGAATACTGAAAAAGCAAGAAAAACTGCCTGGTTTGGCTGACTGCACTTCTGGCTGAACAGCTCCTCTTTCTCATGCCCTCACATAGGCTTCATCTAGCCAAAAACTGGAAACTTTGGAATGGGCTGCGGGACCCAAGCAGCTCGAGGATTACATGGAGGATACACTATGGGATTAAATACACATATATTTTATATTTTTACATATAGCTATATAAAAATCCGATCCGATGAAAAAAGAGACCTCCAAGGACTTTCTGAATGTCTGTCTGGAAGGCACTGGCATGTCAGGATAACTCTCCTCTTGTGAGCAAACTGCTGTTGCTCCAAATAGGTCATTGTGAAGGACTGTGTGTGGCGAGGGAGGAACTGAAGGCACTGTACATAAAATGGCAGTTATCTGCCATTATATTATTAATAGCATCAAGCTGTTATTAACAGCCCTATTAATAAAAGTTGTTCTAATAAGTGTTTGGCTGTGATCTGTGTCTCTTCCTGACTCAAAGCTCTGTCAGGGCAATTACAACAATCAGCTGCGTTCAGGCTGGAGACACTTAATTGTTCTCCAAGTTAGCTTGGTCAGCAAGACCTTGAGGATTCACTGCAGCCTGTTCCATGCGCGGTTGGGACAAGACTCTCCTGTCTGTGTGCAAATACATCCACAGTGAAACACCAGCAGGACTGAAAAACATGGGAACGGAGAAACTACCTTCCTGTTAACAAGGAATCCATTGAAAATGCTGTCAGAAACACTTGCAGTTGAACGTCTCTCATGCACACCCCCTGTACACAGCACCATACAGCGTTCCTGTCAGCGGTGCAATCACAGCCGCGAGCCGCAGGGAACCAAAGGACAGTTGTTGCAACAACAACAACAACAACAGAAATCAGCGTGACTAATCAGGACACGGTTTGGGCTATTAGCCTGGCTGCCAACCATGATAAGTCCCTGCTCGACGGGACAGCAGTCTCCAGAAGAGATTACGGTCTCCGGGAGCAGAGTATAATCACTGGCCTAAAATCTGCCTCTGACAGAGCAAACTGGAAAGCAGATAAACCTGAGTTGGACTGGCTGGACGTATTCCTTGCGGAAGCGCTTGAGGTCGGCGCCGATGGGCTGCTCCCCCTTCTCGATGGCCTGCCTGTCCGCTTCGGTGGGCTCGGGCTCCGGGATTTCAAACCTAGGAACACAGGCACCAAGAAAACCGATGCTCGTTAAGATAAAACACAACCCCTTGATGTACCACACGGAGAGCAAGTGCATCCAAAATATTCACTGCAGTGAAACCGAAGCTCTCATCTCATATCCAGCCTGCCTGGAAGGTCCTTCCTCCCCTGGCTACACAGTATTAGCACATCCAGCTCTCACCCGGATAACTCACTAGTTCTCTGGTCATCACAGGATGTCTAGACTAGGATATAAGATTTTCAGCTACCTGCCAGCTCGATTAAGTGAAGATTAGCAGAAAGCCCAAGAGCTGCTTTATCACGCTGCATTAACACGTTGTTTGCACTAATGGTCTGTGCCAATCAAACGAACTGCTTAGAACATTTTAGTTCTTATTTGTATCAATGGTAGGGCAGACTCAGATACCCTCCCCTGTTCAACAGATTAACACCTCTGCGCTGCAGCACACCAAGTGCTCCAGCTGATATTTAATTCAGGTCAATTATTTAACAACTGGAAAAAAAAAGCTTGTATTAAAGACTCGTATCATTATCCTTTTTTAACACATTGCTGCTTCGTGAACCTCTTCATTTTTCAGGTTTGCTCAGGCACGTTATCACCTGGCAGGAGGAGCAGGAGGGAGGAAGCACAAAGCCTCTTGGTGTCCTCAGTGCTGCTTACCTTTCAATCAGCAAACTCAGCAGTTCCTGGGGCTTGCAAAAGGAGCGGTACGTGGTAAGGAAGGTACGTACAAAATTAGGATCTGTAAAGATAAAAGTAAGAAAATGATGGGGTGTTTTTTATCTAATTTCAAACATTTTAAAAAAAATCCATGTATGCTCCCAAGGAAAGCAGAAGTTTAAAGCAGTGGAATCAATCTCACGGAGCCCAGCACCTCCCCTACGGCTCCCTGCTGATTTGAAGCTACGTGGGTGAAAAATTAGGGAATCCTGACCCATCTCCAGAGCACAGGCTGCCCTGGACAGCAAGCAGGGTGGCACAGTGCATAAACACTACTTGGTCGTGCAATTAGAGACCTGAGATGCCACTGCCTAAATATAATAATAATAAAATCCTTATTAAATGATTAGCTTTAATTAAACATAGTTTCCCTGTTTTCAGTCCTGTCCACTTCTTTTCATCATACTCTTTAATACAGAGCTGCTTAGGCTGGGAATAAGCAAGGGGATAAACAGGGGCCGTTACTTTGGGCCCTGAAGGTCCCTGTTTGGTCCCGATGCTGCATCAGGCCCTTGGGGGCAGAAAGCTGCTCGGGGGGGACACGCAGCAGCACCCAGGGCAGCCCAGGAACAAGCAGCGCTGGGATGTGGGAAGAGTCACCCGGAGGGGCATCTCCTGGGGGTGCAAACATGCTCCAACACCTCTGCATTCCCTCCTCTTCCCAAGGCTGCAGATTTGAGGTGCCCTCGTAGCCCTGCACAGGGTTTTTGCTCTCAAACCTCCCCTGCTCTTCCCTGCAGCCCAAGTTCCACCAACGTCGGGTTCCCTGGCAGCCGCTCCGAGCCCGGGAGCTGCTTGGGAGACTCTGTACAAGAGGCTCCTGCGGAACCGTGCGTCCAACAGGGGCTTCTTAAGCAAAACACAGAGACTTAAAACTAAACGTAGATGGGCAGGAGTAGCCCTCTAAGGCAAACTGACATTAATGGGAGCAGTTAAAAACCACATTTTGACCAAATTACAAAGTGCCTCCAAGATCTGTGATTCTGTGACGTGCTGCAAGTCCCTCCACGTGCTGTTAGTGCTTGGGGGCAGAAGGACAGCGCTTGTGAGCTTTTTTATGGCACATGGCTCAACACAAACTCCTTTTAGCTGTCACAGTAAAGTGCACAACTCAAAAGGCTTGTCTGAATACCAGTCCTCACCATCACTGGACAAATTGTGCTTTGCAGTGGTTTAAAAGTTGGTGGACCCTAAATCCCAGATGCCATTTTTAATGTAGCAGCCTTACAAAAAACACAACAGAGGCCACTAGTACTTGAATATAAAAATGCCCCTAGCCCCAGTGTGTTAACTTCAGTGCAGTCCCCCTCAGAGCATCCCTGCTGCCCCAAACCTAACACCTACCAAACAGTTTCATCCTACTAGTGTTTCATGCCCCTACTTCAGTTTCACTTTTTTTTTGTGGCTTTTTCAGGAAAGCCACCCTGTTTGGTAGGAGATGCAGGTCATCTCCTCAAACCTTGCTTTACACTTAACTATAAGCATCAAAAAAGCAAGCAAAGGGATTAACTGCATCACTCACACAAGCCCCATCTTAAAAAAAGGTTAAAAAATATATAAAAACATGTAAAGAATACCTGCATACATGTGGTAGGTTAACCTTTCAATTAATTTCACCACGGTTCCTCCCTTAATGATAGGGATCCCGTTCCTGCTCTGCAGGTTGTCCTCGAAGACGATGTTCTCCTCGGAGTCCTCCACCACGAAGCGGTAGGCGCTGGCGCTGGGCAGCCGCAGCGGCTGCTCGTTCTCCTCCTGCAGCAGCACCGCGTCCAGCATGCGGTCCAGCGTGCTGCGGTACTGCAGCGCGATGAGCGCGGCCATCCAGTTGCTCTTCTCCTCGGCAGACTTGGCGGCAAACAGGATGCTGTTCTCATCCTTAGAAACGAGTTCGAAAGCGTGTCTGTACTCACACGTGTCGTCTTTATCCAGAATCTGTATTTTCCGCATGGTGATTTTTTCTTTAAGGCGATACTCCGCGTTGCTGTAGCCGGGAAGCCGGGACTGGCCGTGATTGGTTTTACAACTGATCATCAAACCATCAAAGAGGAAGATGTGGCGCTCATGCTTGGCTCCTATTTTTGTCAGTGCACCTTCCATTATGAACTCGTTGCAGCACTGCCCGATATCCTTGCCTTCCCAGCCATCAATATTTTTCTGGATTTCATTCATTTTCTTGATGGCCAAATGCTTGCTTCTTATTTGGCGGTTATAGAAGCGACAGACTGGCTCCCTTAGATGAGTAGAAGAAAAAAGTCACGATGGGCACGTTCCACATTTGCCATCACAACAGACTAAAAACCCAATTAACTGTTTATATTGTTATTGCTTTACACTAACAAAACCCCTAAGCAAGTTTGGCGTTCCAAATAATCCCTATGCACTGCTTTGCCTAAAGGAAGATTAAAATTATTTTAATCTTCCTTTATAATGCCAGAATAATAAATTGGCATCATTCTATGAAAAGCTTCTTTACTGGGAGGGTGACTGAGCACTGCGATAGGTTGCCCAGGGAAGTGGTGGAGTCTCTTTCCTTGGAGATATTCCAAAGCCATCTGGACATGGTTCTGGGCAGTCTGCTCTACATGACCCTGCTTGAGTAGGGGGTTGGACTAGATGATCTCCAGAGGTCACTTCCAACTCCAACCATTCTGTGATTCTATGGTTTCCATAGACCTTTCTTAGCAAAATTCAGAGGTTAGCAATGGCATTACTGGTAACTCCCCAGTGTCTCATCTGTCTGATTCACAGAAGTGGAAACTGGAAGTTTGGGGCTGCTGCTCCATTTAGAATGGACACTGGCACCAAGATCTGCCCCGAGAAGCTACCCAGCAAAACCCACAAACCCTGCCCCGTTATCTGTTATCCTCCCGCGCCAGCCCCGGGACAGCAGGGAGCTCCGGCCTGTCGTTACCCCGGGCGCCGCCGCGGCGAGTGTTTGCTGTAGATGCGCTCCATGCTGCACTGCAGGGTCAGCAGGGCGGTGATGGCCTGTTTCAAGCACTCCCGATCCTCCTCGTCTTCGCTGCACTCCTGCAGTTGCTACGACACAAGGGACGTTTTGCCGTCAGGTTTATCTCGCTGCCGGGAGCGGAGGCGGCCGGGCAAACACCCCGACGCAGCAGCGTACGCTGCAGCACCCCGGGAAGCCAGGGACTAAAAGGGAGCAGCACGAGCACTGCCAGGAGCACCCTCCAAACCAGCCGCGCACGTAACTAAAGCAGAGAGATTGTCCGATGCTCGGGGAGAGTCTGCAGCTTTGTGGTGGGAGAAGCCAGGAGGGAGTTTAGAGAAGACAGCTCTTTACCCTTTATGTTACCAAGAGATAACCCTAATGGTCACACACAGCTTTATCTTTTCACTAACATCCCGCTTCACCACCGGTAATAATTTTTTTCAACATTCTGAATGATTAGATGCTATTTCATATAACTATCTACATGTAATGTTCCTACAATTAGTCACTTAATCTCGCCATTTCAGAGCAAGACTTAGAGAGAAAACGACCAAGAATCTCCCTCCTTTATTCAGCTTGGGCAAACTCTTCTGGTGCAAGAAGAAATACCAGCTTTGCACTGCAAATTCTGCCACACTAGAGGCTGAAATTCAAGGGTTGATACCCAGAGCACAGCGAGAATCAGCACGTCTCCCTTAGAAAGGGCAGATTTTTCCTTGCTATGAGGCAGAAACTCCTTGAATTACAAAGGTGGACTGGCTTTCACACCATATACATATATTGCAGCAGTATGGTATGAGAAAAGCCTATTCCTCTTTTTGGTTCTTCAAGGCGTTCACTCCAAAAGCAGATGTTTCTTGTTAACCCCTTTCACGTTTCAGACTGCACACACTTTTTAAAGAAAATTCAGGCAAACAAATTTGCTGAGTAAAAGCAAGCCAATATGCCATGCAGTGTTGGATAAACACTGTTGTGCCTAGGTACTTTAAGAGAAATATTACTTACAATCACTCAGCATGGCAGAAGCCTTCTTTTCCTTTCCCCACTATGTTCCCTCAGCAAGGATATGTAGCTTCCTCTAAAAGTAATTGAGAGAACAGGATTTGACCAGATTGGCCCACTCCCTTCATGTATTTTAAAATAGCAAAATGTCTATTTTTCGCATGCCCAAACAATCTCAATCTTGCATTTGAGAGAATTGAAAGTTTCAAGGACAAAAAATTCCAGGGGAGTTTTTGAGCTGAGGAACAGCACAGGGAAGGGAAAAGGTCTACCTGAAAAGCAGGGGCAAACTGCAACACAGTTGCTAGCCAGAAAACAGGTAAATCTTTAGGAATGGGAAAAGGGTCCTGCTTTTGCCAGAGCAACATGGGAATACCAGTGGTGATAGAAAGTAACAGCTGTTAAACTTAATTAAAAAAGTAATGAAACACACTGCTTACTATAATTCTCAGAATGACTAGAGAATAGCAGCCACGGTGTGCAGAGAACCTGGCACTGCTATTTAGTCGACTCTCAGTACTTTAGGAAGAAGACTTTTGAACATATCTGATTTGTTTATTGTTGTGTTAAATACCTAGGGAAGAATTAAGCTTTATTTTATGCAGTCCTACATTCCTGTAGAGGCAGAACGTACCATACGAGAGCAGCATTTTGACAAGGAGCTACTTGTAATTCATAAAGACAGCAGTTTCTCTCTTGGTATCAATGATTAACTAACAGTGCAAGAGATCAAAAGATAGAATTTGAGATATTTTGGCTTGCTTGATAGGAAGATAGCAAGTCACATGCAAGAATTAGGGATAATCTTGTGTCTGCGAGTCACATGAGAAGGATGGAGATACTCATCAATAAAGGGAAACCTTGGAGTTGAACAGACTTGAACAGAACATATTTCTCTCTGCTTCCACGATTTTAAAGATATTCTAATTGGTACATTGTTCACAATTCAGACTGATTATCTGACCCCTTGAGTTCTTTGCATTGCACTCAATAAAGTTGCTTTGAATTCTGGTATCAATACAAATATCTAAAACATACCTGGAGCTGGAAAGACTGAGGAAGCACCAAGCTCTGCTTTACCCTGCTCGCATTAAAGCTCTGCTTTACCCTGCTCGCATTAAGGAGCCCAGCCTAGAAGGGGCAGGCACTATATTTTGAAACCCAGAACACTCTGATTATCAATTAAAGATATCAGAAAATAATATATTTGGGTTATCTGTTTGCATAACCTACCCACTTTGGATCACTACCTGCATTTTTTCACCAGGCTGGCTGGTTTTTCTTAGCGTGATTTCCTTCACCCTTTGCTGTGCCCATCCTCTGTGCCACAAGCTGTGCCCAGGTTACCTGTCAACGCCTGAACACACAACCACTGTCATTAAAGCAGCGTCAAGGTGCCACGGGCTGTTTCTGACCTCTCCCCTGCTGCTAAGGAGGATCAGACAAACCAAAAGGCCGTGATGCAGAGGTCAGCAGCACAGGGCACTTCAGGCCGTGCAAAGCGTGTCAAGCCCTTGTGCCTCTCACGTGGGCAGAAGGGACTCCCTGGGGCAGATTTCTGCACCACGGAGGAGGATTCTGCAGCTTGAAGGAGTATAGACCCTAAGCACTGCATGGAGGCACAAGGGGCCAGTGTGCAAATGTTATTGCACCCTGTAACTACAAGAACCCCAAGATTTGCGACTGCAGTGCCGGGAAGAGCTCCCTGCACAAGGCCCTGCTGCCAAAGCAGCCAGCTGAGAGTCTACCAAACTCCGGGGCAAATTCCTGTAGGATAACGCACAGGCAGCACCCTGGCAGCAGTGCACAGCCCCGTGCTGCAAGAGACACACTCGTAGCACAGGCACATGCCTGGAACCCAAAGCTTCACTCCTCTTGGCTCTGCCCCGACCCGTTCATATGCAAGTCTGCTTCTCTTTCCAGACTTGTAAACTAGTATTTGGAACATTGTTTCCATCACTTTTCGCGAGCTCGTAAGAGTAGTCAGAAAGCTGGGTGTCAGCTGTCATAGACAGGCTATGTCCATTAGAAAGGCTATAGGAAAGACTACTGTTTACCATTGTTTCACGGCTTGGGAATGTGAAGTGCATGGTTTTTGTTGCTGCATGACAGACTATTGCACTGCAGCCAATGCTTTTAACAAGAAATAATGAACTAAAAGATCTTTAAAGAAATTAATCAGGGGGATCCTTGTTAACTGCTTAGCTGACCATAAAAATGGGGAGGGCAAGTGACACATGGTGAGAAATCTTGGGTGTTTCAGGCCATTGCTTGACCAAAGTGACACTTGGGTCTCCGTATTTGACAAGCTTGAAGAAATAACCCCTGATTTGAGTGGAATCATGGATGAGTTGGAGGCGGGGAGAAGGTGCTTGCTGGTGCCACGGTGCCATCCTGCAGACAGCTGTTTGCCTGCAGGAAGCTTCTTTTGGATGGTTGTGGTTTTGCTCCATGAGGAATAGAATATCTGGGCCTCACCTACATCCCGAGTCTCCTGATGAGGAGTGAGTTTTGAACCCATGCTCTGGACATGCTATTTAAAACACAAAATTGAAAGACAGAGCACTAGCTTTCTCCTCTCTGTTGTCTGTCTTCTGGTCTCCCTCCCCTAAAAAGGGAAACAACAAAACAAACCAAAAACCACCCAGCAGGCTTATTCAGAGACTTCAGTATTACTATCCATGATCCTGAATCACAGAGACTGATAAGAGAGGATACAGCAATCCTCTCCTTTAAATTTTTAATTTAATTCCTGTTTATTAGTTTCTGCATTTTGCAAAAGAGCAAGCATCATTAGTCTTCTGCAACTCATCCACTATTTTATTCCATCTCTCTCAATTCAGTTATCTGAAGCTCAATTCTGCTTCAATTCTAATTCTACTCAGAAATCCTGCACACTTTGCATAAAAGTCGAATTTCATCATTCCTATTACTAAAATCTCCTAGTTAAAAAAAAAAGCTAATGTTATAATTCACATAGCATCCAGCTGCAATATTCAAGACACAAGCATAAAGTAAACTAAGGAGAAGGCCAAAATTCGTTCTCCAAAGATGTGAGACAATTTAAAGAATGTGCAGGTACAAGGCCAATCCATCAGTATTAACTGGTGTCAGGAGCTGGCTCGAAGCCTCCGAGAGGGAGATAAAAATCTTACAGCATTGCAGATTTAAGACAGGCTATCAAAAATGAACTGTCTTCTCTGCAGTAATGGTTAGAACATAAATAGCAACCAGCCTGTCACTACAGAAACCAACTAGCACGTCTATATGCAAAGCATTTCACCTTCAATTTAAAATTACAAAACAGTCAAAACTCCCATTCAATAGTACAGGTATCATTTCACTAAAAAAACTGCCCAAACAGTCTATAGTTTAAATATCACAAAGATTTACATGCCAGTAACTGTGTCACATGCTTATGTACTTTTAGGTAACATCTTTGCAGTGACTGTGGCACCTGCAGCTTGTAAAATCGTGGAAAAAATGTAGATATATTTCAAAGACTGGGACCTTGGAATTCATTCTTTAACTCCACACTGCTGCACTCTCATTCCCAGCTTGAAGATGCAGCCAGGCTGCCCTACCATAACGCAGGTGGCTAAACCAATTTTGCCTTTCAAATGGGAAACAAGAGCATTTTAAGAAGTTTTTGAGACTCATCCTACGTAAAAATGCAACTGATGCAACTGACCCTTTAGGAAAAGGAAGTTAAACTATTTTGAGAGGGAGAGATATATTTCCAAGGCTGTTGGTGCTCACGTCACAGCGAGCCGGGCATCTCTGCGCTTGTGCTGACACCATTTAGCTCTTGGATCTGCTTTAGGGTGTTTTCTTTTGTGAAGATCTCTTGAGAGAAACACAAGCTTTATGGAAGCAAATATTAAAACTAAGGCAGCGTGAGGCTTCTGATCTCAACAGAGGCAGTGCAACAATCTGGAGAAAAGTTTATCAAAAGTATAAAACATTTGTTCTAAACTATCAATAGAAAAGCTGACCTAAAATTTATTGAAATCACTTGGACTTAAATCTTTCCACAAAATACTAATAATTCATACGCTGGATATACGTGGTTCATGACTCAAATTAAGCCAGCCATATTTTCCTTATCTAAATTGTGATATGCAAAAAGTCATAGATAATGAAAAGTAGACTAAGCTGTAAAAAGTTTCCTGTTAGATATTAATCACAGAACTGGTCATAAAACAACTCCCTGATTTTTAGCTTGAGATTTTACATTGAGACTTTTGATGCCATTAATAAAAGCTAAACTAAGCCCACAGGATGTTTCCCCCATTTGATTTAAGCATTTCCCATTTAATCCTTCCCCTAACTCTATAAGCCTCACAAACTTTCCCAGCACAATGAGGCAAATAGAAACTTTTTCCGCACTAACCTCAGCTATCTTAAAAAGCTCTAAGTGTTTTTCAAGATCCTGCATTTTCTACAGCAAGGCTATTCTTTCTTGCTCAAGTGTGATCCTTATAGATCTCAGATGTTCCATTTTTGCTGACTGCTGGCCTCTCTTCTCTTAACTCATAGCAGAAACATTTGCTTGTAAGCAAAAGGATACAGGCTTAGTTACTCTTTGGCTTTTAGCCCTTATACCCAAGGGAAGTATCCACTGATTGGACTACCTTGCTAGTGCACACACAATAAAATGAGTGCAAGCAACCTGTGGTCAAACAAACAAAAGCTGTTCTAAAATAAATAATGCTGCAGTACTCAGATTTGCCTATAAATACAGAGAGGATGCCAACATAAAGAACTGGTTTGATAAGACCCTTGAAATCTATCCCGCAAGAACAACTTTTTATCACCTAAATCGGAATTCCATAAAGCCTGAACATTTCATCAATCTCATTTCTTAGAATTCCCCAAATGAGAAAGTAACTATTTGTTTGCATTCCTCCTTGCTATGGAGGAAGCGTGGCATGCTTCGACAGATGGTATTTTTTGCTAAATATCTTCCATTTAGGACTCCAGACAAGTGACATGAAGAACAGATTATTCTTCCTATTATTCTGAAAGGAAACGTCCACCCACTCTGAGGTCAGCTGAACTGCAGCTGGACTGTGACTTGAGATAGAATACTGATTTGAATCCTTACCTTTTTCTGAATGGAGAAAAAATCAGAACTCGTAGAAACAATTAAGAGATGGCCATATTTCATTTTAACTATATTAAATCTTAGCTTCAATGAAAGTTTACTTATTTTTATAAAATGTATAGCTACTTTAAACATTCAGATCAGAGCCATAGATGCTTTGGAGGATTTCTTTTCAGGTGGATTTACTTTTCAGACACATACTAACAGGTATAAAATTAATGTTTTTCAGATTTTCAGGGGCAGGGAGTAAACATGTAGCTACCTCTTTAAAAGCTCAAATTCACATTAAAATGTTATTATCAGGAAACAAGAGTGTGGGGCGTTACCTGTAGTAACTCAAAGTAGTGCAAACAGTGATAGACTGGGATGAGCATGAGGCGTGGGAGGACGTATCGCACAGCTTCCTTAAACCCTTCAGCAGTAGACTGAAAAGGAGAAATAAACAGCATTACTGACACAGGAATACTCAAAACTGGACTGGAAAAGGCTCTGAGCAACCTGCTCTCTTCTGAAGTCAGCCCTGCTCTGAGCAAGAGGGTTGTATTAGACATCCAGGGTGTCCCTTCCAATCCACATCACTATTCCAGGGTGGATGTTCACATCTCAGGATGAAGAAAATGCCTGAATGTATTTCCAGCATTGCTCACACCCACTTCCAAAACAGATGTTTTACTGTGGACCACAGAAATCAGTTTGCTGCAGAAGCTAAAGGAAACAGTGGGATACTCAAGACCAATCAGGATTCCTATATAATCAAACTTGTCACTGGCTCCTCTCTAAAGTCCTCTCCTTCCAGCCATGAACACTGTGCTTCAATTTACACCAGTATAGCACAGAAATAGGGAGGTTTTGTCAAATACAGAAGAAATTACTGGCAACCTCTGTCAGAAACATATTCCCAAGTTCACGAGTTAGAAAATGAGTTAGAAATCCCTTCCCATTCCCAGGGGATAACAGAGTGATTCAAATAATGAGGAGAGGAGAAATTTTCCAAAGGGTGGTGGAATCTCTGCTCTCCTACATACCAAGGTAACTACTAAACAGAAACTGAATTACCTGCCCTCCTTCTTGGACATGAGCTCAGCCCCAGTTTAAAACCTTTGGCTGCACCTCTGCAATTGCCCGAGACAGCTCATACAGTCCTCAGCCCAGGGCTTGGATCGCTGCCTGCTGAGGACGAGAGCCAGAGGGGAGGCCAGACTCATTGTTAAATGACTCATTTACCTATTTAAACTGCAACAGGGCTTTGGGCTTCACATCTGCTTTACTCCAAAGTGATCTTTGAGTGAAATGTTCCAGCTCAGCCAGTGCTCAGGGCTGAAGAGGAAACACCCACCCGGGGGGAACGTTCGGAGCAACCTCACTGGCTAATGACAAAAATTTAAATACTTAATCAAAATAATTCCTAGGTGGCTGTGTTTGCCATTAAAGGCACAACAGGGAAGCAGCAGGCATGAGAGGTGACCCTCTATTTTCCACAGCGGCAAAGAAGGAATCTCGCGGGATTGCACAAAAACCTGCCAAAGGGTCATGGATGGGTCAGAGCTGCGTCCAGTTTTTGCAAGAAGGAGCAGAGTCCAAGTATCTCACCCTGATCAAAGGGCAGAATCCAGAGGATTTCTTCCTTTGCCAAAGCACAGTGGGAAATAATCAATTACTGACAAATTCCAAACCTCCAAAACACGAGAACCAAAGGAGTTTGGTATTTATCTACACTTACCTGAAAATGGAGAGCAACAGCAGGTTTTGCCATTAAGTTATTAAAATGCTCATGAAACTGCGGGGAGAGAATATCCTGGGACAAGGTTTCGTAAGGATCAAAGGCTTGTTCCTAAATAGACAGAGAGGGAATTAGATACACAGAGGAAGGACGAAAGATACTTCTTTCCCCGTTGGTACAAATCATTCTTTTAGTACGCTCAAACACAGGGGGAACTTTTCAAGAAAAGTTACATTTTGAAAAACAGGAACATTCCGTAAACTACATGTCATTAATTCTGAATTTTAAAAGCACACATTCTCTCAGCATTCCCCAATCTCACCATACTTATCACTAGCACAAATTTTGCCTTGCTGAAACAAAGGGAACCAAGAAAAGGTCTTGATTTCAGTCTGCTCACAGTCCACAAAAAACAGCAAATCACCGTGCAGTGCCTATGGACCCTATGAATTATACAGCCACTATGCAGCCCGCTGGCCACATGCACAACGCTGATTAAAGAAGAATTTTGGAAACACTAAGGCTGGAAAACCTCCCTGTGGATGAGGAATGACCCTTGGGAAGCAGGATGAGCGAAGTGGCGCTTCAGACCAGCTCTGGAGACGGTCACAAGGAGGCATCGTTGAACCAGCTCCTCAGCAGGGGCCGTCACGCCAGGCGGCCGGTCACCAGCACCGGTCACAGCTGAGCCCTTTTCAGGCCTTTTGTCACACTGGGATGATTCCTCACTCCGTATCCTGTGTGATGGAGGAGGAACATCCCTGGAGAGGGCTCCAGAGCCTTCTGGGGCTAACACTGCTGGGCCAGCAGGAGCCTTCAGCTCTTGGGAAACTTCTATTGAGGAGCCAGAGCAGGTTGGGCAGCGTGTCCAGGATATCACTGGAAAACCAGGGACACCTCAGTGGAGTTTAGATACAGTCTGGCCATTTCCCACATGCTATACTCAGGGACAGGATAAAGTAAACGCTGGATAAGTCTGAGAGCTGACAGAAAAACCTCCACCAGAATTCGCTGGCTCCATCCAGCAGTTTGTTCCTCAGATATGGCAACACGCAGGACACCACCAAGGTTTTCAGGCACAAACCCCCAAGTCTGGATGGGGCATCGAGCTGCAAGCTGCTGAGAGGGATTGCACGCTGCAAACCCCACTGCACACAGAGCTCCCTGAGAATAACGTGTGGCTGCCCATAGATCCTCTGCTCCAGAGCCTGCCAGGCCCTTCCGGAGCCTCCGAAGATTCACTGGGCTGAATCACACGTGAATCACTGGGTTATCCCGCGTGGATGGCGGCGTGCCCGGAATGAGCACATCCCTCCCAGCGCGGAGGTGCGTGTCGGAATCCGCAGGTGTGGGGCATCACCAGCTCACCGGGACCTTTAGGTGAAGTCTTTGTCCTTCTGTTTGCAGAGGGGCCAGGGGATTTCCTGCCTTGCTCATGGTGCTGCTGTAATTAAACCCTTTGCTGGGAAGGGAGACAAAGAACATCCTCTCCTTCTGCATGCAAATTCTAATCATCGCTGTGAAGTTCTCGTCATCACCGTCAATCCAAATGAGATCATAACCTCGTGGTGAAATGAAGGGCTTGGCCGGGCAGCGGCAGCAGCCAAAGGGAAACCAAGAGCGGCACGTTACAGAACAGGCCCGTTTCCCTGAGCAGGATCTGAATCCAGCTCTGTCCTTGGTGCCACGGGGCGCAAGCACAGGGCACAGCTGGAGCTGTCCTCGTGTGACAGCAATCCGGTCCATTAATGATCCTCGCGGCTCGACTCACCCCGCTAAATCCACGTCCGTCCTGCTCTGGGGAGCCCAGCACTGGGCACTGCTGTTAGCAAAACTGCAAGTGTCAACTGTAACTTTTGCAGAGCTGCTCAGATATCAAAGCTGATTTCTCGCATTCTCGCATCTAAATTACATTACTTGATGCCCATCTAAATTACATTAAAAGAGCAGACAGGTCTGGGTTGGTGCTGTACGTATCAGGTGGCAGTGGGTCCCCTTTCGCTGTGTCCATTTCCAGACTGCTTCCAGGAAAAATGCAAACACCCCCCAGCAAATCCACAGCCTCCCGACAGCAACCTGGTTTTCCAGGCTGCCCTCCAAGCTGCTTTTCCAGGCTGCCCTCCGAGGAGCCCTTCGAAGCCTCCCCCGTTCCTGCACCCACCAGACCTCCCTAACGAGGTTATCCCAGGCAGCCATGTCGTGCCGTGCTCGTTCGGATCATGAAATCCGCCACCAGGGAAAAACAAATCCTAACTTATAATCAGGATATTAGCAAATTCCCACTTCCCACTCTTATGTGTCAGGCATCACGTTTTTTAATTCCCTTTGCCTCCAGGGAAAATTGCTTTCTTTTCCCCATGCTTCCTTATCTCAAAACCATTAAAATATTTTTGTTAAAATCTTTTTTTTTTTTTTTCTGTTTTGGTTCTCTGAAAAAGAAACAGACAAAGCACAAAAATGCCAACTTGCAAAGGCTAATCACGTTTCCAAACAAGCAAAGCGACCTTTTAACGGAAACACTACGGGAGCAGGCCTGGCAATAACACACCCAGAGCAAACGCCTTGCTTTTAAATCTTTCTTTAATGATCCCTTTTGCACACACTTGCAAAAAGAGAATAAACAACTGGCCTGTTCGATTGGCTGTAAAGTCAAAAGCTTACTCCGTGTTACTTCAATATTTAAATTCAAGTTTACCACTTGCATAAAAAGGAGTTTTGAAGAATAATCTGTTCCTCAACTCCTAAGTTTTTCAGCTAATAAAAAGCAAGTTGTATTTTTAGCCTACTTTAATTCATTGTTCAAATGCTTCTCATTACCATTTGATAAGCAATTTATGCTTTTAACATCCTAGAAAGTAAACCAGAATTCAGCTAGACTGTCCTACTGATATGTCACATGATCAGTAGTTGAACCAAGTCAGGCCAGCAAAGCTTGATCTTTATGATATATTCATAAAAGGGCTGAAGGTTACATGGGCTGAAGGATGTGTATTCTTCACACCCAAACACAACTTAGCTGTTTCGCAGACAGCATTCATGCATTCTTCTGATTTTAAAAACTGAACATGCATCAAAGTGAAATACGGAATTTATTTGCTGCCATTATCTGTATAAATACAGTAATTTTCAGATAAAAACACTAACTTTGTATACACCATGATACCTGACACACATTCACAGGCACAAACGCTCACTCAGGCCAGAACACCTCATTTGAAATCCATAGGGTTTATCTGATTACCTCTATGTTTTAGCTCAATATATCTTTCAGGAAGAACTAGACTTGATTTAAACACGTTCAAAGACAGCAAAAACTCCACACTTACCTTGATAATCCAGGCATTAGTTACCCTGACGCTGGGAAGGTCGTGCTTTATTTCTAAGCTGCACTGCCCTGTTACCTTGCAGATGCTGCTTTCTGCTCTGCCTCGCTCAGCTGAGTTACAGAGTCATTTCACACTCTGTTTTCAGGTCACTTATATTCCCATCTTTATTTTGACTGAAAGAACTGATACATTCAGCTATCTCTCTATAAAGCACGTTTTCAAAACCTTTACCTTGTGACTCCTCTGCAGCTCTCTCAGTATTTCAATGTCCTGTTCAAAACGCTGACAGAGGAGCTGTTAATATTCCTGTACGAGTCTCACCCACATAATTTGCAGTCTCTCCCTTTACTCCTGCTCTTTGATACCTACTTTGTAGGCAAACTAACATCAACAGCCCTTTTGCTACAAGACTGCATGGTGTGTTCCACTTGCACGTCTGTTTTGATATTTCTGCTGGTAAAAGGACTGAAGAATTTCACACTCTAGATGTGTAATAACACACTTGTCTGAATTAAGAACACATTTTGTTCGAATTACTGCAGCTTACAGAGTAAGACAGTCACTTCTTGCAGACCTAGGTCCAACCACTGGGATTTCTGCATAGTGCACCAATTCTTAAGGAAAATAAAGTACTGTCTTTTTCAGTGGGCAACCCTAGCTAATTACTTTCCAAATCCACAGTCCTACAGCACTGTAGCTTTTCCACTCCCAAAAATGATTTTAGTTTTGTATTTACGCACGTGATACAGTTTCTGTGACAGCACTTTGAGCCTGCTTTAGCCTACATAATAAGGACAGGTAAGGAAGATCTCTGTTCAGAGCTTATTAAAAGGACCTTTTACAGCTATAAATTTATCAAATATCAATCCTGACCAAAAGCTTAAGAAAACAAAACAATCAATTATTTTAAAAACTTACTTCTGCAAGATCTTCAAAGCAGCTGCCAGCCAAAGGATGAGGGCTACTTTCATCTGTCATTTCGACAGTATCCTCGATCAATCCCAAAAGCTTCACAGTCAACTCATGAATATCTGAAATGTTGCTAAATATCACATCGATATCCTGCAAATACAAAATACCCCTCAGTAGCGTTCAGAAACATGCACTTTATGTCAATACTTTAACCTGTGATGTAAACTTTCCATAAAAAGAGTGTTTTTAGGGAAGCCTGAACCACAAGACAAGTGAAGAAGAGCCAGCAAAGAGAGGAAGAAAATGAAGTCCTGTGGTTTTCCCAGACGGAATATTGCAGGATTTTAACCCCGGCGAAGGGAAGCTCAGCATCCTTCCCAGGCCAGAGCAGCAGCAGTCCTGGCCAGTGCTGGTTGAGTGCTGCTGACACAAACATCTGGCCTTTTCCCCCATGTCCACAGCTGTTATTTTCCCCTCTGCTGATTTTTATCTTTCAGAATACAACGGGAAGGAGGCAATTTAAAAGCAGCTCTAAGGTCACATCCTCAAATCCACAGGTAAAACTAAACCAGCAACTTCACTTTAGCTAAACGCTACCTGCATTCAGAGGGAGAACTGCCAGCTTCCTTTTCCCAACCTGTTTTTTAGATTTTTGAAATCTCAAAACCTCCCATTTAGATGTTTTCAAATTCACATATCTCAAAACCTCCCAAGTAGGCAGTCTCCTCCGATGACCTCTACTCTTCCCTTGGTCCCTCTGAGACACTCTTCTTGTCCCCAGCTAACGCCACAGCTTGCTGTACCACCAACAGCCCCGAGCCAGGACAATCTCTTCATGGGGACAAGCAATTTGCAGTCTTTCTTACCCAGGCCCGTCTCATGGAAGAACACTCCTCAGCTCCAAAACTCTGCTCCCTTCCCCTCCCACTTCTCCACAGCAGCTCTCCGGTAGCCGGGCAGCTACGGAGGAAGCTCCGCACTGAGCTGTACTGGGAACATCCCCTGCTCCCTCCCTTTCCAAGGGCTTGGCACTGCCCAGGAACCCTGGTCAGGTCCTGCTGGCCAGGACCCCTTCTCCTTCCTCTCCCATTCCCTGATCTCCCGTGATCTCTTGTCTCACAAGAGCTCCGACATGTCAAGCAGTTATCACGGCGGATTTCCCTCCCGGTCAAATGTTAGCGAACGTGGGGACAGGGGTTGATTTCTTTGCAGTTTCTGCAGACAGAGGGGCCTGCAGTAGACTTCTAATGTCAATTCAAGCATTCATCTGCATCCCCTGCGCAGGCAGGTAAATAAATGTTAATTTTTGTTTTAAGCAGAAGTGTTAATATTATATACTTAACCAAAGGACATTAGCTACTGCTGGCATCGAGCAGGGAATCACATCTATTAAACCTCACTCTGAGAGCAGTGCTCTCCAGACTATTAACAGCAATTGCTCCTTTTTATTTCACAGTCAACTCCTGTTATGCACTGGCATACAACGAATCAAATTTAATTTTACCTTCAGTGCCGTCACTGTAAAATTGATATGCTATGGCTCCATTAGAGAAATTAGTATTACACATCAATAACCTATTAAATGACTTACATTTGGTGTGAACAGCTTTCTGTTAGACAAGAAAGCTTCCCGAAATACTTTTATTATCAGATTCAACTCCCGCAGATATTGTCTTTCTTCTGCAATTTCGTTTCTCACTAGGTCATAGTAGTTGAGCTCCCCAGAAGAAGAAGGTTCATCTTCACAGAGAGAAACCAAACCAATGTCATCCTGATCAAACATGTCCATTAAAACCTAACAAAGAAATTAAAAAAAAAATTAGAGGCAGGCCTGTTTTTTGCACTTGGTTCAAGTTAAACTGTTTCAACGTGTCCAGAGAAATCCTTTGAGTTTTTAATACAATACTTTCTGTGACCACTCTCGCAAGGGAGCAATATTTAAACTTTGGCAGAGGAAGGCTGGATCAGTTGCCAAAGCCATTTTTCCCTTTATAAGTTAGTACAACCTAGAAAACAAGTCACAATTCATGCAGAAGCAACTTTGAAAACAACGCATCTTGCATAAGCTTTTGACAAAACCCTCCTGATAAAGATGGAAATTCAACAAAAACTGTTCCTCATTTGAATCAATATAGAAACTAAAGATCCCTTCTGTGCTATAAAGAAGGAAAGATCCATCATTACAAAGTGAGGACATTAACACAGCTGGTCAATAAAGGACAGCATTGGTTTCTGTCCTTATATTGTTTTATAAGAACTACTGTTCAAAAGGTAAACAGGCTTAACTGACAGGTTGAGCCTTTACTGTGACAAGTCTAGCATAAAAAGAAAGAGAAGTTTCTGAATAAGAATAGTGTTAGTGACTCTCATATCTTATTTTGGTTGAGACTTCTAAATATTGCCTCCTGTATCCACCTCCTTTTCTTTCCAAAATATGATTTTTATCTTATCTCCTTACCTTATCAGCACACATTGATACTTTTATGTCTTGCTGGGAGATCTCAAAGTGCCGAATATTGAAAACGTAATTTCCAGCCAGTTTTAAAATGTCAGCTGAGATGTATTCTAAGACAGCCACAATATACAGGGAGACATGGTAATCCACTTTATAACCTAGGACCTCCTGCAAATTGAAAACAAGAAAAACAACAGTGCTATTTATTCCTGAAATTAATTCTGAATAACAATTCACACATTTTGTTTCTACTGAAATAAATCTTGTCTGTGTTGATAATCCACAGCAATGTAGCAGCCTGGGCAAAGGGCAGCAAATGAAAATTTCATCAATACCACCAAAGAAAACGCTTGCATATAATTTCCTGTGATATTTTGCCATATGCAGCTAGAGAATTTATGGTAATGCTTCCCTTAAAGGTAAGCCTTCTAGGGGTCCTTTGAGGAGGGGACATCACTGAAACTACCCTTGCACTTAAATGCTAGTCTACATCTATGTATATTGTAGGAACCATGGCCCAAGCCTGGACTCTTGAGAAAACAGCACATTTCATTTTCATTTATTTCTGTCTTTAATGGAACTATGGACTGTACACTGAGCCTCTTGCACACTCTGAAGCATTTTAGCCCACCTGTTAACCTCTGACTATACAAAATGAAAAGCTATCTGTAAATTTCTATTAGCCCAAAATAATAAAACTTAAAGAGAAAAGTCTGAATGGAAAAGAAACCACAAGGAGTGCTGCACTTTCTTTTTTTAACTACGTGCCCCACTTTTGTGTACTGCAGATACTACGTAGTCACTGCTTGTGACAGGACTGCAAGGAATAAAGACAAGTTCACACTTTTGAATAAATTAATGTCTCTCTCGCCCTGTTTTGATGTCTCTTCTAAAAATTACATCCTCTATCTCCATCCACACACCTCTAAAGCAGACTTTATGAAAGTCAGTCTTCCCTTACTTAACGTTTTTCTTTGCAAACATTTCTCCCAATCTTATTAACTGCCACAAACTAAGACATTGCAAGCAAGAGCGCAGTGACGTGACGATTCCTGAAAAACTGCTTTAATTTCTGCTTAGGCTTGAATGAAGTTTCTCCAAAGCAGCAGACAGACAATTACATATTCCACAAGCTGGGTGGAAATGCCGGTGCAACGATGCCGCCTCCGGGGAACAGCAACTCCTTACAGTAGGGAGCACAAGCAAAATAAATAGAAGAAAATCTAACCCCCACCCAAAACAAACAAACAAAAAACCAGCAGTGTAATTCAACTACAGAGGCACAGCAGGGGTAGATACTCACTGAATTACAGCAGACCTTGACTGGAAGCAAGTTCCATAGCTGTTGTGACACGACATTTAGGAAGCAAAATGCCCCCTTCCTTCTCAAAACTTGCCAATAATGCAGTTGTATCTAGTCTTTTGTTTTGTCTTTGCAAATGTATTGATTTTAAAATGAAGGCATCAGTGAAATTCAACAGTGAAAGGAAATCAATATACATCTTAGTTGATGGTAGATGAGGAATAGAAGCTACTTGTTTCCCATTTTTCTACTTTGACTTCTGTGGCACTTTGAAACAAAGCCCTCTAAACACTGTCACTGAAATAGATAAAGCATCTGCATTTGTTTGGATTTTAGCTATGCTAAAATATAGTTGCTCACAAAGCAGAGTAATGTATTTACAAACTAAAATCTAGGATATATTGACCTTATGGACTTAGATTTAGTACACATTACAATAATATGTTACTGTTCTAGCGTGACTCTTAACTCCTTCAGCCAACATGAGAAATTTTCCTGAATTCTTACTTGTGTGGAAAAGTATTGTGAATTAAAGAAATACTTCTAGTGCATAGCTTTTACAATAAGAATACATCTGGGGGGAAGTAGCAGTAGTTATCAGGTTGCTGTTTTAAATACCTTTAATAAAGGATGTATCTTGTCCACGGGCAGCAGGAGAGGGTTTCTTCTTTTCCGTTTCTCTATAGCAGACTGTGCATCGGCAATCGCCCACTTGTCTATTGGATGAGGAAACGTCTTTTGAACACGTTCCTGCCCAGACATATAGGGTGCACTTAGATTAACCACAGCAATCAAAGAGAAGTTAAAAAACAAACCGAAAAGCCCCCAGCAAAATACTTCCCCCGCACTATGGCTAATTATCTTCCTCCTCCTCAGTGTTTGCAACATGTTTTCCTAACTGCTCTTTCCTTCCTACCCAGCTTAGCTCCACTCTTCTCAGCATCGAGCGTTCCTTCAAGTCTCCTAAAGCAGGTCCTACACTTGATCTTGACGTCAGAGGAGCAGCAAAGAGCCTCAGCTGAGAGCAGGAGCCCAAAATATAAACAACATGAGGAAGCACTAAACAGCTCGTGGGCTAAATGAAGAAAACAAGCAGCTATTGTTCTAATTTCACAAAAGTGGAACTTGCTCTATAACACATCAAGTTTATGGCAGAAACAGAAGCAAACGCTGCATCTCCAAGCTGCACGTAGGGCAGTGATTCACGAAGGCGGCTGCTCCAGCTGCAGCTCCCACCCGCTCCCGCTTTCCCGCTTGCATGGCCGGACGCAACACCTGCAGTTTACAGCCCGCAGCAACGCGCCAACCCGCTATTTCGGGTTGCTGTTACACGGATTCACCTTCCAATGGCGAATGCTCCGTGCACAGGCGAGGTGATCTCTGGGGTCGCACCCGCCGGCAAACCCAAATGGGGCCCACCAGACCCACAGCCCCAGCTTCTCCTGAGGTTGCTCATGCCAGGAAAACGCACTGTGCCCCTTTCCACACACACACGAGCCTAAAACTCCAGGCTGGGTTTCTCAGGGTTCTTGGGAAGGAACTTTACTGGGATTCTGCAAGACCACCCCGAAAACGGAGGCAACTCAGAATTCAGCTCTTACTTCAATACACCAATTCATTTCACAAGTAACACATATCATCTGCACTTGGACTTTACTGGTTCCCGATGTTTTGCTGTGAATGATTCCAAGGGCTTTTTCTCATCTACAAAGTCTGTTAAAACTTGAGACTTTAGACCTTGATCTTGCAAATGCGTAAGTTTAATATTATGCACAAATAATTCCAGTAAGTCCAGCGTCCTATCTGCATGATAAACTTGACACATCCCAGCTCTCAGATTTCTTCTAAAGAGCCAAGAGCAGGCGGGGAGCAGAACCAGAAGCCTTCAGACACGAATGTGCCGGCAGCGCAGTGCCAAGGACTGCACTGGGTGTTCCTTGGTTTGGAAAAGCCTGAACGTGCTGACGCGGGGAACTCTACAGTTTTGGAGAGCCCATTACCACCCTTTAGACTCAGCTCCATGTTTTAAATGATGTAACTGCCATATTGCTAAGTGCAATAATGATTTATTACTCTCGACCTTAAGATATCAGGTATATTTGAAGTAAGGCACTGCATAGTTTTTGTTGTGTCTATTTAGTTGGGATATTTGTAAGAGGAGCTCAAATACTTTGTAGCTTTATCACAAGATCATGGGTATTGTCTGCACTATTTTTGCAAACAGTAGTTTGTGGAATTTATTTATACACCCCCCAAAAAAAGATTAATTCCTGTGTACAGAGAGTAATTTTATCAACTCATGATTCAGAAGCAGAGAACTACAGAGCTGCTGTGTAATGGGTGCTATCTCGATCTCTCCTGTGTGCCAGGTTATTCGATAGGCTGGGAACTGGAGGAAAAAAACACAAAATTTCTCAGTTTCGCCTCGAAAGCTCAAATTCAGACTAATGGTAGCAACAATCCTGAGGATTGTTAAGGGATTATTAGGTTTTGCTTTTGTTTAGTCATACCATAATCTTCATGTATCGGTATTACAAAATACATTAATCATAAACCAAACTTAATAATTAATGAGTTGAGTCAATGAGGAATATAGGGTATTACTGTATCTAGTAAGAATCTAAAACCCCTCAGGCAATTATTTTGTAAACATATTTTATATTTATTTCCATTACAAATATATAGAATATTAAATGAGGATTTTACTTTGTTGTCGGCAGAAAGCCCTAGACATATAGATGGCTGTAAGATTAATACTCTGCAAAGCCAGACTATAATGTGTAACAGCTACATGAAATCACTTTCTCTCTCTCTAGACCGTACACCAAAGCACTCTCCATTAGAGCCCTCATTTTGTGAGCGATGACACAAAGGCAGACAGCTGCAATAACACAAGAGCTTTAGTGAGTTCAATAAAGTTCCAGGAACACACAACTCTATTCCCTCGGCTGCAGAATCCAGGCCTAACAACAGTAACCTTTCATTACAATATTTATATTTTTGACTATATTAATGGCAAAGATGAAACTCCTTTAATTCCATTAACTCAATTCTATTCCAAATTCATTCTATTAATTCTATTCATTGTATTCTCAAGTCCTTTTAACAAACGGTGTTTCCAATTAAACTCGCCTTATGAAAGCAGAATACTGGGTAACTTTTTAGAAGAGTCGTATTAACAAGCTCTGATGCTCAGATTTTCCTTGCTTTAATTCAACCTGCACCATGCAAAATGCTTAGCTATTCTCAGCAATTCTGTAAGCCAACACTTCATGATTCAGTATCTGGTCTTACCTCTACATCTTGGACAGTCCGTGGCTGAGCAATGCATAGTTTGTTTAGCAGCTGAAGTATCAACTCCTCGATATAATAAAGGGAATCTTCCTTTGCCGAAAGGTTTGGGTGAACCTGTTGCTGAACCTGTCCAAACAAATTAGTATTTGTTTCAATGAGAAGTTTTACTGGATGATGAATTGTGGAAAACACAGAATAGCTCTGTGTCTTCATGCTGCAAATTCCCACATTTCTAGTAATTTTCCACAGGTTTTCCTACGTAGCTAAGATAGCAATTCCTCTTCTGCAAAATTGGTGTCTCTATTCAATTAAAAACTTAAGTGTTTGGCCTTGATTATTGGGAGGAAATTCTAATTGTGTAAGTCAAGGCAGGCTCCCGCTAAAATGTGGTGAGAACAACCTTCTTGGGTAAGAATCAACCTCCTTTAATTCTACACTTCTTCACACAGAATGAACAAGATACAGTTGAACCTCCCCCTACCAAAGAGCAGTTGATCATTTGTGAGCAGAGGAGCCGCCTGGGTCCACCACGGGAAAGGACTCAAGCAGCAAAGACACGGGGGGAGAGAATCAACCAGTGGAGCAGGGAACAGAAGTGCTCCCCTCTTAACACCCATGGCCACCAAACCCGTGGCCATGACACTGGAAAACGGCTGGAACAACTCCTGGGATGCCACAGAAACAGGAAAATAACCAGAGCGTGATACGCTCCGAGGCATGGGAAGAGGAGGTGTGAAATACAAACCACAGCAGGGAGAGACCCGAGGCTACACGTGTATAATAAATAATACTTGAACGTCACGACTAGTGAACATGAAAGGGTGACTGCCACTGCCCTCTGATACGGGGCAGGACAACCCCTTGTGTGTCACATCACAGAGATTAACCACAGCTCTTCAGCTGGACCAAATACACTGAAAGAGGCAATGTCAACACGCGCCCACGCCAGCTGAAGGGCCACCCTGAACTGCCCAGGTCCAGTGGGACTCTCTTCCTACTAAAAATCTCCCGCAAACCAACCCCACCTTAAAAAAAAAAACGTGAAGAGTTGGTCTAGATACTTGATTTTGCTCGGCAGGCTCTCGATCAGGAAAACACTAACGAGTTCTTAAAATACAGCCAAAAGATTCATAAAGAACACAACCCAAGGAAATTCCCTACTTTTCCCATATAGATTCTATGATAATCACCTCAAAGAAGTAATATGACATACTTAAGAGGGGCATTTCTATGTGGTTTCAAATGCAAGGCCAACAGGTTGGTACTTTCTTAGGGAAAACCATGGAATACCATCTTCGGGTCAAATTCTGATCTCCTGAAACCCAGGTGTTCATCTGTCTGCAGACAGCAGGGGAGCACACAAAGCACCTGGGGGCTCCAAGGCCTGTCTCCAAACTAAGTAACTAATAAACTCATAGTGACATCCTGGAGAGGGTCAATTTGCTGCCCCGGGGGCTTTACAGGCTGTGTCAGAACAGGAGCAGCAGAAGCGACGTGTCCTGGTGGCTTCTCCCAAGAAGTCCTGGCAGCCGGCGGCACAGCCTGGAGGAGAAGGGCCGAGCAGGGCTCCATCCCTGCATCCCTGCGGGAAAGGGGAAGAGAGGCCGGGTCCAAGGAAGGGAACAAAGCAGCGGTGCCCGTCCTGCATCTCAGCACCCACGAGCAGAGGTGACAACTTGGACAGAGGGCTCTGCTGAGCGCCCCCGAGCGCCTCGCACACCCAGGGTGCCAATGCAAACATCTCGGGGAGGAGGAACGCCTGAAAACACGTGTTGGTGCTAATTATACTGCAGTTGGTGTCACAGAGATTGCAAAGGGGGTGCCAGAAGTGACGACCAACATGTGGGCTCCATGCAACACCCAGGGTGAACATGTAGGGGGAAA